TTTTGACGGAGGCAGCTTTCTTCTCACTTCTTATAGATATTTTTTTGGTTTTTGCACTTTCATAATCAAAAGTTTACCCCGGCAAAAAAGATATGTTAAAATTAATGGCGAAGTCAGAGAGTTCATAATCTCTTCTCTTTGAGTGCTCAAACAGCCTCCGTGGCATACTGGAATCGGGATACCGATGAAGACAGCCATTAGCTCATGTCCATGCTTCAAGTGTTGCTTGGTTTAGCTCTTTTGTATTCCCGACTGGCGACTACTCCTATGACACTCCCTGAAGAATATGTTCCTGAAATTTCTATTGAAATGCAGCTAGGACCTCAGAATAACCTATTCACACATTTGCGTTTTGAGAGTGCTGGCGTTCCTGGTTGAGTGACTTACAGGAAAAGTAGACGACGCGTCGACTGAGGAAGGGATAAGATGATCTTTCAAGCCTTTCCGATAATTGTTGGAGTCCGTTGTGATAGTAGACGCCTTGGCACCAACTGCCACCTTTCAAATTATCTGTGCGATCTTTTCGAGGAGTTTACGCCGATGATAGTGACCTTCGCCAAGTTCTTCGCTTACGGAATTCCAGCACTTTCAACATCCGCGTCTCCATATTAAGCTCTCTTCTTGTATGCTGAGGTTTGAGAATTGATCTTTTTTCATTTCCATTTTGCACAGTAAGTGCACACACACGACCTTTTGCAAACAATATACAGGGGTGGCCAAAAAAAGAGACACTCCACATTTCAGACAGCATTAATCACACTTTGCTAAAATCAAATCGACTGCCCCCAACTCAGTATTAAGAGCACATTCTAATCTATCTAAATTTACATGACAGCCTTCTACACCGACGACATCAGAAGATTTTCCCACGGAAACATGGTTCACGGTACGAGCTCAACGAGGTCGTCGAGGTACCATAGACCATTACGACGTCCCTGAAACGCTGGTCAAAAGCGGTTTTGCACAGTCACAGCTAATGTCTCTGGGAAGCTATTCAACAGTTAATCCATTGAAGAAATTATGTAGCAGCTTCAGGCCGGAGCGATTACGGTAAGCCTCGTTGAGCTCGACGGTGGCGGCAGATGACGTCATATTCTGAAGACGGCGGGGCAGTGAAGGAGGGCCTGCTTCTGTTTACGGGGGAACCTAAGGAATATTCTCCGTAAACTTCATTAAATGACTCCTGTGGGATGAAAAGTTCGATGACGTTCGCCATGGGCAAAGTGTCTTTTTTTGGACACCCCTGTATAACCAATCACGCAAACAGCAGAGGTAAAGAAGTGTCACAGTATAAACATCGAAGTTGTTTCAAAAAGAGGTTTCTTAGACTGCGAGATTACTAGATACTATCAAATGCCTTTTGACTCAGATTTGAGGGTGATTTATAATGTAAAACGAACTATATTACAAGTATCCAGAGCTTGTTTCCCTACTCATTATACTCTTAAAAGTACTCGTCCCGCGCAGTAGCACCCAGCGGTAACCATCAGGCTCTTCGTCAAGAGTTACAGTAGCCTTAAGTTTCCCTGAAGACAATATTTACAAGACAATACAGTAGAGAGGTGGTCAAAATGAAGCGTATATAATAATTCACGCTCACAGAAGTCAAAAGGTAATATACAAGTGTTTCTCGCTGTAGTTTGAAAGCAACAAAAGCCAGTCTCCCAGGATACTTCGCTACCGTAACGGAATAAAACTGGCGGGACTGAAGGCAAAGTCCGGGATCGAGTTAACGTATTAGTGTTCGTAAGAGACGGTGGCAACTGGTTGTTTTTGTAATATTGGATAGCAATAAAAAAACGGGAAAACGGGAAGAACCCTCGACAAAGATGGAAACAAAATCTTCCTAACCGTAACAGCGAAACGAAATAACACAAATAATGATTGGGCGGGGCGTACGGTGGTGGGTCGGTGCACATGATGAACCTCATGCCTTAGCGCTTGGTAAGTGGGTATGTGCTCTGCGCTTGCGTTACACTCCATTCTCGCGCAAGAGCTCCATTTCATCCGGAAATCCCGAACTTTGCCTTTAACAAATTGAAGGCAGAACGACGCGCAAGCGCCTCGCAGCAATGTGGTTTTTGGGTATGCGCGACTTTTTTCTTTTTGTATTCATTCTAGACCACAACATAACATAACTATTCGGCGGTTTAGAAAGTTTCGACGTCCCTCATTTTTAACCAACTTTTGATAGAATTATCGCTAAAAGTTCTTTTTTTTGACACCGCACTGTTACATTTTGTTGGCCAACTCACTTCATGCTTCTTCCTCTCGCTGCTATCGAATTTTGATATAGCTCGAGCGCTTTGATGTTTTTAAAGGCAAAGGTCGGGCTCGATATAGGGTATTATGGCTTGAAACTGAGTGTAGAGATGCGAAACGACAGTGGAGAAAAAACGAAAAGAAACCGTCGACAAGGCCGAAAACGAAACCCCTTCCCTTCTAGCAGTGAAGGAGGCTTGCTTGGGAAGAGGCACGTCCAAACGAGTTTTCCGGATATGCCAGCCATTCTTCATCGGTTGATACGGCAATCAACCTAGCTGATTTCACACGTTATGCCAGCCACGCACCACTTCCGGAAGGTGGGCGGGCATAGCGCCTGCCAGGCGGCGATAGCGAACAATGCATCACCTGGGGCTTTATTACCGCGCCGTTTGGGATTCTGAGCGTGGCAACGTCTTTAAGGGTGCGATGAAAGGAATTGGTTTGGTCGCCTAATCCTGACCTTTGCCTTTAAGCAACAAGTCGAAGTGACGTCAAAGCAACAGCTTAGACGAATTCACTTTTACGAGATGAAAATTAGAGGAAGTGCTATGCAAATAGCTAGGAATTAGAGCACTGTAGTGTGGAGCTAAAGATGTCCAACAAGAGCATATTGCAGTATTGGTCCCCTTGTTTTCAATGTGAACTCGTGATTCCGTGATTCAAATGAGTACGGTTAGGAGAGTCATACTCCTGTTGGCGAAGATCTCCTGAGAACCTCGGTAAAAGAAGGTCCTTAAATAACCACGGAACGAGCGGCAGCATAACCTGGAGCGAGCAAGTTAAAACTTTGGATGCCTGAATGGAAGTGAGAAAGTGAGCAATTTGGACAAATGGGTTCCGCACGTCGACTGAGCAGCGAAATCTACCATTCAGAAATCTCGTCGCAGATTTCAGATCAGATCATTTTACTTAACAAAAAACAACCAACTTTTGAAAAGATTTGATTTCGACCACCGTAAATGTTCTTAAAATCCGGTTTTCTTTTCATTTCCATAACCCATATATTTGGTTGCAGGTCTACTTTTGAATTTCACACATGTACTGCGAAGACTTTTTAGAACACATTTTCCTTATTTTTTTCTATACCCACTCAGATCGAGATTTAAAGGAAGCGGTGCACTTCATTAAACAGCGAGCTCTAAAATGTCTGAAGCGCCTCCGAAAACTGCGTGTCCAGACAAGACAGTAAAAATGTGTAGCCGCAATTTGATTGATCCTATCTCAGGACGTCACATATCCTATTTTTTTGTCAGCAGCACAAACTCTGCGGCCTAACTTATATTTTATATTTTGGTTCCCAGTTACATCATGATCAAGTCTCACCGCATGTAATCTTCTTTTAGACCTTTGCTTGGTCGTCGACAACACCAATAAGATTATTAAAAACTGCTGGGTTGTCTAGGGGTACGCCACAGCGAATGACGCAACCCGTTGTGTAAAACATGCCGGTGAACTGGAAAATGAAGAAATTAGCACCATCAAAGGAGGCTCTGTACTGCTGAATCATGAGGGGCCAACGTATAGGAGAAGATAAAAGCATGCGAAACGCAAAATATCCACTAGCTCATTTGTTTTACGGAGCCCTCACCCATGACATCTTTCACTCGTAATTATTAAAAAGCGATGGAAGGGCCTACTCAGCAGACAGCAGCCCCTTCTTCGCTAAATTTCAAGTTATTTACTACAACATTCCCTAATTTACACAGTCTCGTCAGCTCCCGTTTTCGAGCGTATAAATATGTCACGCGCCATGCCAACCCTGGGACTTGCCGCTCAATTTTATATCTATGCTCACAAATACGAGCGTAATTTAACCCATTCTAAAGCAGATCCACAAGAAACTGCGCTGCTGGAGATGGGGCGAACGGCTTGTACACCAAGGCGACGCGGCCTATAGAACTGACGCGCGCCGCCATTCACAGCAAATAGACTCCCAGGAAACGTATAGCTTTTAATCTCTCTCCAGCGAACCTGTTCCTCTGTTCATCGAGCGACTGCTATACTAGCTCCTGGTTCTGTGGCGTCGACTCTAAACGTTTTAGATCAGAGTGGCAGAGCAGGGGCCGGGTGCAGCAAGCCAAGACGAAGATGGGTCCACAGAACTCTGCGTCTCCACTCTGGTCGATGACGCAGTTCTCGTGATCAAGAATAGGGGAATGCGTCCAGAGATACAGACTTTGAAGAAAAATCATATGCGGGGCAAAATTTCCTCACTGTCACTCGCGCGCGCTAGCAGTCATTCTACTGAAAATCACATATCGCGTCCTACCCATCTAAAACTGTGCTCACTCCTATGGAACGTATAGTGTGATTGTTTTGCGATCTCAATAGGGCATTTCTAGGACAAACCTAGAAAGGGAATAACTTCGGGAAAATCAGATTTGCTCACGCACCCTGATTGTACGACACACGTGTACATTATAAAATGCTGGTCAAAATAAGAGCGCCAGTAGAAGTTTTGGGGAGCCAACTACAAACCCATTCCTCGGTCATACCTCAAAGCGATTTCTGCGCTTCAGCAGATACGGAAGCATTTTCAGGCCTAAGCATAGGAGGGGCAGGAACTCTCGGGACAATCAAATTGGGCCTGCACTCTTAGAGTATCCTCCTTACCTAGGGTTTTCACCTCATTCCCTGAAAAAATAGGTAGTATTCGTGCTTCAATGCGCAGCACATCGAATCCCCCGCCTATTGCAATTATCGCCCGCATTTCAATGGAAACGCACCTTAATGACTCCACCCGACTCATTTACTAAAAACCCTCCCATTGGTTCCATGTGGTGGTTCCAACCAGATATATCAATAGTGTCTTGAGCTCTGGCGTTCCTGTAAGTTCCAATTTTCAAAGTGACATGAAATTCTGAGCATGTTTAATACTGATATTTTCCTTTAAAAAACTGTTTCGAAAACTCAACTCCACAAACCTCCACGTAATAGCTATTACGGCACCGACTGGTGGAACATCACAAGAGAAAAAATTTCCGACCACCCATCTCTTCTTAACAATTAATAGAAGAGTTGATGCCGACTTCTTCTTAACGACTAAAGCACTGTCTTGGAGTAACATGACCGCATTGGGTAACGGCTCTGAAAGAGAAAATATAAATCAGAAGGATATGCTCTGAGAAATGGAAAAAGACCATTCATAAAAGCAGTGCTATGAGAAATGAACCATCCAGGATCTAGCGCCACGTTAGCTCAATAAATCAATATCGAACGAAAACTTAGCAAAAAAGTTGCCGCACACGCGCGTTTCTCCTCTTGTCCCTCACGCACTTTCCTTGAAGTGAAAAAAAACTTTTCTGGAGAGATCGGCTGGAGAGATTCCAAAGGCCAGGTAGCGCTCAACAGAATAGGACCCTCTGAATTGTTGAATATCAGACGTGCAAAGAGCAAACTTCAGCAAATGATGATTAAAAGGATAAAGGATAAAGCATTTGCCGTTGATCAATCCCTTTTGGGATGCGGCACGCATTCTTCCATTTGTACATTCGTAGTGGCGTTTGAATGCGATGTGGCCTATACAATGACTTGCGGGGGCCAGCCGATGTACAAGTCAGTGTTTTTATCCTCCCAGACAAGTCTGGTACCAATTAACCGACCCCGGAGGGATGGAAGGCTTGGTTGGCCCGGGCGACTCACGACGGATTTGATCCCCGGACCGCTCGCGTGGTAAGCGTGCCACTTGCCACTACACCACTTCCGCCCTCAAGTGCATGATTGAACTTGTCAAAAGTTTAACAGAGACGGGACAACCGTCGAGGCACTTCCGTGGGAGAAGCGCATTCAAACAGGCCGACGCCAGTGAGTCTAGGACTAAACTCAACAATGGGGAGAAACGTCAAGGAGAACAGGAACTGTTCACATGCTCCCGAAGGATCTCTAACTCTGACCAGGACTCCAACCAAACCAAAGCACAGTACAGGCCACTCACATAAATTGTACACCCAGAATCCAGTGCCGCCATCGAGCTCTAACGGCCCTGCATTGATGAATCATTGAAGAACAGTATGAAGGGCCACTCACTTTAGCGAGCAAACAGAATCTAGATTGCTCAATAATTTCGTAGGGACAAAAATGAAACACCTGTACCTGCTCGGGCACTCGATGTCCAACAGAAGCACAACTGACACAGGTGATAAATTCACGACCCGAACCAAGAGTGTCAGCGTGGCAGTATTACCTTTTACCAACACCAGCCTAGCCACGAACACAGTCTCCTCGCGCAATCGTTTGAATGGGCTTACTCGCATTATGACGTGGCTTTTGAGTCTCCCTATTTCGCTTATCAATAATCCTACAAAAATGTTCGCGTAGTGCGGACATAGTCGAATCGATTCTAGGCTGAAGATATCTTTAGTCTCACGATAAGCTTAATCAGATAATAAAACGGTAGTGTTCCAATAAGAGAAGTCGCTTAGGACTATTTTAGACCGACAACAAGGATGTGTAAGAGAAGGAATGAGCCGATAGCCCGTCAGTGAATCATTGCAGCGACTGCTAGCGCGGCTGGCGCGTGACTCATCTCCCTGCGCGTAGCAATGTGATGACGCCTTCCAACCACAGCATTTCGTTGACGTGTACCATATTCACTACATTTAACAGCAGATCGGTTCACAACAACTACTAGATATGAAGTGAGATTCAGACAAGAATGGGATATGAAAGGCGGTTCGATACCTCCGATTAGCATGACTTTTCCGTAGGTCTTGCCATTGAACCCTTACTCTGATCCTGGTCGGCCTCAGTTCTAGAGCTTTCCAAAAGTTCGGTAGTTCCATTTCGCTTGAGATGAACTTGCGTTTCCCTGCAACATCATGACTCACAAGCGCAAAACCACTGCGCCGTCGATTTCTAGTGCCGCAGAGCCCTTCGTTTTTTTCGGATGAAATCGATTCATAAAAATTACTCGCTTATCTGCTACAAGCTGTAAAGTGCTTCTCGGCTGCTGCCAATGTGAGCGCAATGAATAAACTAAACTTGAACCGGCTATAATGAGTGGTTTAAGATAACGATAGGATAAGGAAAGAGAAGCATTACTTATTGATTGGCGAGAGAAGTAATGAGACTTCTAGGATAGCCACCTGAACAAATCCCTTACCATCAACTAATTCATGACAAACGGTGAAGACACTTATAATGAACATGATGCTTATTCACTATTGGCTGTGTTCAGGATCTTGAGACACTGTCTATAGATATCCATCGTAGGGCTACGAGCCGTAAATCTCCAGTGCTAAATGGATGTCTACTTCTTTGATACTCTCCCAGGCGCTGGTGCACTTGAAGCCGGAATTTACGATTAGAAACCCATCAGAAAAAAATAAGAGGTGTCAGTTGTTCAGGTGAAAGACTAGAACCATGGTATTCCAGAACCGAGGAATGAACACGTTCCTTGCCCGGTCAACACACTCTCTCTGCTGAACGGCTAGAGACCTGAGTCGAGTAGTTTGCCACTCGATGGGCATGCTGCGCCGACAGCATCACGGGGAGGGCTTAGCGGTTTATCCGCGGAAATACGTTTTTTTGGGATTGCGTGCCGGTCCGCATTTTGGAGGGACCGCCTGTCTTTCCACTAGACAAGTTTCCACTTCTTCGACCTCGGCCCTCATCGAGGGATCCTCTTCAAGGTATCAAGAATATTCAATTCATCGGACATTGACTCGATGTTCGTTTTTTGTGCAAAATCGTGACAATCTCTCCAGAATTGTTCTACTGGAAAACGTTGAGCATCGCATAGAAAATAAGACGATCAAAGATCAATAAGATGATCAAAAATCAATAAGATCAATGCATTTTATCAGTCGATTCTATTGACTTTGCTTCAACAAAGACCAGGACCGATAGTCGGTAACTCGTCCGATTAAGGCTACTTCTCAAAATCTTCTGGAATGATTTACGACAGATCTTGAGATCAAAGGCGTTGTGATTTACGCTATTCCCTTTGCAGTGGGTCCTCTTCTAGCCCTAATCTTCTGACGCACAGTTCTCGACCTCCCGCTTTTCGTACCTTGAGGTGATCTCCAGAGGTATGAACCCGAACCTCAAAAGCACAAAGTTGTTTCGAAAAAAAAAGAGGGCGCTCTGTCATACAACACTTTGGAGACCGTCCTTGGACAGTTCTTAATGGCGTTTCAATGCGAAGAAATCTTATAGCGAGACTTCAGATTTTGGACCGAAACAACTTATGGAGCTTCTTAGATAGCTCCAAAACTCAAACGGTTGCGAAACACTCCATAAATTCTCCACGGCTCGCGCCAACGAAGCGCTCAAAGCCGCATCCTTCACTTTTCAGCCACCCTACACACACGAGAATAGTGCAAGTCTTGCCGCACGATGAAGGGTAGAGACGCAAAGGCGAGCTGGCTAGTTGTCGCGCCTACCGTGGTGGCCCAGTATCACATTTTCAGAAAAAGCCCAATGTTCGGCTATTGCGCCTTCCTTGAGATTATGTTGTCCTTCAATGTTTTGCGATCTTTTGGTGGGTCTAGATAAAGATGAAACATTTGCGAAGAAAAACGCAAAGAGACCGAAGACAAGGGAAATAAAACATAGCGCTCTCACGTAGCGGCGAAGTAGGCCGGCCTGGAAGGACGGCTTGTTTAAACGAGTTTTTCTGAACTGTCAGACCCTGACTCCGTGCCAGCGCGATACGGTGATCAACAAAACTGAACTCACGCCTTGTGCCAGCCGCGCACCACTTTGTACGGTGGCCGATCATAGTAGATCATATCATAATATCAAGTGGCCATCGCTCTGAATACTAGGTTGGGTCACAAGTGCTGATTTCACATCAATTTAGGAAATTTCACAACTTTTTTTCAAAACCATCTTTATTGAGTGCCATATTCTTCACAGCTGTCTGCAACTGTCCTTCTTCCATGCACACGTAAACGGGTACAAAATTGCGCCACTTCAACACGAAGAAGGACTGGTACCCTTTGCTCAGGGTTTCTCGATGTTTCGTGATCATCGTAGCTTTTCTCATTCATGGAACAGCAAGTAAGCGGCACAACTGCTGAATGTTTGGTATATGTAATTGTGAAGAGCTGGAAGGAAACACGAAGCCAAGTTTCTGCATAGTATTCTGGCTACCGCTCATGACATGTGGGTTGCGAGTCTTGGGCAGTGAAAACTGCAACTGTTAATAAGGAAACCTTGGCAGATGTACGTGTTCGCAACGTCTTTCACTCGTCATGGATTCCGTCTCCCCAACTTGTTCAATTTCCCCATGGCTCTTAGTGCACCACTTACAGCGATCTGGAAGGATCGAAACTCCGGGTACTGGACGTTCTCTTCAAGAAGCTCTTAGATGCGTTCGATGTCTACGGTAAGTGGATGTGAGAGGATATGCAAAACGTGGTTGGTCTTCGAAGGATAGTTGCTCTGGCAAAACTTCCGAATTATTTTCAACACTGTCTCTCGACTGTCTCCTTCAGCTTAAATGTTCTGAGAGGCTCCTCTCGCTAAATGTCTCAGACGGAGCTCGTAAAATGGGCAGTGGCCGACATGGGTCGAATTGGACGCCACTCTAACGTGTTCTCCAACACTTAAACGAACAACCCCAATATAAACTGGGTAACAGCGATCGGTAATGATGGCATGGAAAGTACGTGTCTAAACGCGTTTTAAACGCAACCGCATCAATCGATGAGCTGCCATACCTGTTTGCCCATCGGCTATTTTTAGAGCACTGGGCTGCTACTGTACCCTACCCTCTTCTTCGAAAAAACTTGGAGGGGGATGTCGCTGTAAGACAAGAATGAGAGCGCTCATGACACGTGATCGACTCATTTGAAGTATACCTTTGATAAGTGCCAGTGCAGTGTGGAGAAACGAGTGCCTGGAGGTGTTACAATGTTCTCAAAGGCAAATATATCAAAAGAAGTTTGAGGCCGGCGTTTTAAAGCAACAGTCCCAGCAGGGTTTTTACCTTCGACACTAATGGTGTGGATGCGCTAGCCCTAGTCAAGAACATAAGAAGTGTGACTGAACAAAAAACTCACCTTGGAAAGCCGCTAGAAAGGGAGCTGAACGGCTTCGAAGTGGGCGTGGTTGGAAATCGGCTGCAATCCCTCGGCCGATTTCCAACCACGCCCACTTCGAAGCCGTTCAGCTCCCTTTCTAGCGGCTTTCCAAGGTGAGTTTTTGTTCAGTCACACTTCTTATGTTCTTGACTAGGGCTAGCGCATCGTTCCACACCATTAGTGTCGAAGGTAAAAACCCTGCTGGGACTGTTGCTTTAAGACCAATGTAGTGGTTTGCACTTAACTGCAAACAGCCAGATTGTTCTTATGACCTTTTCTGATTAACAGAGATGCTTAGTGATGGTGCCAAAAAATGTTTGAAAAAAGTCTTTGCCGAAAACATTTTCTTTTATTCTTCCATCTACACATGTCTAAACAAAACATGACAACGATGTGGTGCCTATCGATAATTAC